AAATGGAGGCCGCGGTAGCGTGCACGGATGGACTTTATCAGGAATTTAACAAGATTAACACTTAAAAACAATTATTTGTTCGCTCAAAATTATATTAAATATGTGTTTCAGTCTAACGTTTGCTTAATCAATGCACTTTGATGGTCAGATCAGCTGTATTTCAAAAGCCAATACGCAGAAATAAACGCGTGTACGCGACAAGTCTCTGTGCAAATTTAACAAGATAAACACCTAAACAATTGTTTGTTTGCTCATAATTATAGCAAAGGTGTATCTCAGTGTAACGTTTGCTTAATAAATGCACTTTAATGGTCAAATTAGCTGCATTTCGCCGGGGCGGTGCAGCTGTTTAATTTGCCTCAAGCCGCGCGCAGAAAGAAAGTGGTTATAATGAGGCAGGCCGCTTGTACGGACCATCACAGAGATCCTTCCCGCCCACAACCATCAACATCTAGAACAACTCTTTTATGAAACAAGGAAAATGAGCTACAACAACATTTAATTTCCCTCTGGGATTAATAAAGTATTTTTGAATTGAATTGAATTGAATTGAATTTACCTATTACATGTTACAATGGCATGCCTTACTGGTACTACTACTCTGCTGCCATCAAGTGGCTGAAAGTGGTACTGCTCAATTTTTTTTTCAATTCAATTCAGTTTATTTATATAGCGCCAAATCACAACAAAGTTGTCTCAGGGCACTTTACAGAAACATTCACATAAAAGCCAATTAGTAAAGTTCTCTTTCTAAAGAATCCAGCAGGCAAGATGAATCTTGGCTTCGATGCAGTCTCCCATCCTGAGCAAGCACAGGGGAGACAGTGGAAAGAAAAACTCCCTTTTAAAAGGAAGAAACCTCCAGCAGAACCAGCTCAGGACAAGCGGCCATCTGCTTTGACCAGCTGGTTGAGAGGACAGGAAGGAGAGACAGACGAATACAGAATGGTAGGTTCAGGTATAGGTCCAGGTCCAGGTGTAGGTCCAGGTATAGGTCCAGGTGTATCTGAAAGACAATAAAACACACGTTAAGGATAGAAAAAATTATTACAAATACAAAACAGGTTGAGCAGAGTAAGTAAAGACAGTAGTAGAGTGAAAATTGTGGTCAGTTTGTCCTATAGCAGCATAACTAAGGGACAGCTCAGGAAACCCAAGCTGACCCTAAATATAGGATTTATCAAAAAGGAAAGTCTTAATCCCAGTTTTAAAACTGGATCATGTGTCAGCCTCATGGACAGAGATTGGAAGTTGGTTCCACAAGAGAGGAGCCTGAGAACTAAAAGATCTGCCTCCCATTCTGTTTTTGTAAATTCTAGGAACCACAAGTAAACCTGCAGTCTGAGAGCAAAGCGCTCTGTTAGGAAAATATGGAACAATAAGATCTATAATATAAGATGGAGCTAGGTTGTTGAGAGCTTTGTAGGTTAGAAGTAAGATTTTGAAATCTATTCTGGACTTGACGGGGAGCCAATGGAAAGAAACTAAAACTGGAGAAATATGATCTCGCCTACTAACTCCGCTTAAGACTCTAGCAGCAGCATTTTGGATCAACTGAAGACGTTTTAAAGAAGTATTTGGACACCCAGATAATAAACCATTGCAATAGTCCAGTCTAGACGTGACAAATGCATGGACCATTTTTCAGTCAGAACGAATGAATGAAAACGGTCTAATCTCAGCCAAAAATTGGTTTATAAATATGGGAAAAAAATCCATAAATATGTTGCTTCAGCCTATAAGTTCCAGGACATGTAAATTATGCAAAAAACTGTGATTTATAGACCAAAAAATATGGTATTACTAAACCGCATTTAATCACCATTTACATACTTTTACGCTAGGCTCCCACTATTTATAGCACATTAGCTTTAGCTTACTGTCACTCGTCTAATCTTTACATCTTTTAATCTTTTTCCCACACTCTCCTCCAGAACCTTTTGCTTGGCTGCCCGCAGCCTTTTCTGGGTCTATTCTCTTTGACGTTTGACAAAAAGCCACAGATTGAGCATAATGTTCAATAAAACAATGAGATCCTCCATTTTGGTTGTGCATCTTTTCAGGGTCTTCTTCTTAATATGTTTAGTAGTGGCTGGTAAATAGCTTAATGGAGCACTACTGCCACCAGCTGGCAAGGCGTTTTGGATTCTGGACCCAGCCTACAGAACCGGTCCTGAAGTATATGGAAAAGCTACGTGTACCGAAATGAGCCGAACTGAGCCGAGTTGAACTGATCCAAGCCGTCACTATGGAAAAGGGACTTAAGTGATCTGTACAAGCTGAGAAGAGATTAGACGTCAGACACTGGTCAGACATTTTGAACCTATCACTCTATCTTCTCTAGAGCAGGTCATGTGCAGCTTGAAACCTTCTGGTTACCCCTTTGATGTGGTCCCCCCTCGACTACTAAAGGAGGTTTTTCCTACTCTAGGTCCGTCCATTCTTGCCATAGTAAACAGTAGTTTATCCACTGGTGTGGTGCCAAAAACCTTTAAACATGCTGCTGTCTAGCCTCTCCTGAAAAAAACAAACCTTGACCCCTCAGTCGTGTCCAATTTCTGGCCTGTCTCCAAACTCCCATTTGTTTCTAAAGTACTGGAGAAAATAGTCGAGTCCCAGTTGAAGTGCTTTCTGGAGGGTCACGCCATCTTAGAGCTATTCCAATCTGGCTATTCCAATCTGGCTTTAAACCTCTCCACAGCACTGAAACTGCCCTGCTGAAGGTCTTTAATGACATTTTCTTAACCACTGATACCGGTGATTCTGTGCTGCTTGTTCTGTTGGACCTCACAGCCGCCTTTGACACCATTGACCATGAGATCCTCATTGCTAGGTTAGAGCAGTGGGTGGGCATCACAGGGTCAGCCCTCAATTGGTTCAGATCTTACCTCACTGACAGGTCCTTTTGTGTCTCCATCAAGGATTTTAGTTCTGCAGCGGCAGAGCTTAAATGGAGGGTTCCGCAGGGGTCCATCCTGGGTCCCCTCCTATTCTCTTTATACCTGCTGTCGCTTGGTGCTATTTTCCGGAAACACAACATGCCCTTCCACTTCTACGCTGATGACTGTCAAATTTA